TTTAATTTTTATTTATATTATAAATGCATTTAACAATGGTATTTAAATTTCATATTATAAATTTATTTAGCCATGGTATTTACATTTTATTTATAATAAAGATATATCTACTACAAAATTTAAGTTTGTAGAGTCTACAATAATGACAGAAGTAAAAACAATAGAGCATTATAATATTGTTGGATTTAGATGGCCTTAATTTCAAAGATTTTCTTTTTAAGCGATTTTATTCTTAAAAATGAGCTTTTAAGTTTCGACGATTCAGATTACAAATTTGTTTACTTTTTAGCACAACATTTCCCTAACGTCAATTTAATAAATATTATGTTGGTAATGGAAAATATTTGAGGTTATATCATGTTATCAAATTTAAGTTTGTCGGAGAACGACCCCCATCTCCACTCTTGTATCTTTCAATGTGACAAGTGTTACAACTTACAATATTGACTCAAAAAATCGCGGCAGTTTGGTTCAGAACAGATCACCAGAGTACCTACGCTACCATTTGCACGAAGGCCGACTTTTATACGAGTCGTAATGTAGATTATATTTTATATTTAAATTTTATTTATTTTAATTGTTATTCAAATGTCAACAATGTGCATGTCAATATAATACATTATATGTTATATTGTATAGATTATTAAAATACACAATTATTTTGGAATCGTGTTCCAATTATTATGTAAATTTTTTAATAATATATGGTATTCACTATTCAGCCATATTGTATAAATAATATATTGATTTAAATAAAATGTATGATATTTATACATTCATTTATTAATTGATACATATATGTACAAAAATGGAATTAGTAAATAGGTACAATTTAGTACAATAGATAAAAGGTACTGGTACTAGTTCAAACTGCTAATAAAAGCTCAAATATACTGCTACTACCTACTAACCCAAGTCCCAAGTTACTTTGGCCAGTTGAGCAAAGTAGGTATACCCAAGTCCCAAATATCAAAACAAAAAATCTTAATTATATTTATGTAGGTACCCATATTATAATATATAAGAAAAAAAAAATTAAATATTAAGTATGATGTAAAGAAGATAGATCTACAATAGAGAATTGAATATATTATCAATCAAAATAATTATATAATATACATAATAATAATTAATAATACTTATAAATTGATAATATTCTATTTTTAATTCTCATTTAGATACCTAATTGGTTATTTACKTGTACCATCTAAAGAACTTTATGAAATTATTTATCAAGTAATATAATAATATATAATAAATATAAATAAGCAAACAATTTACATAGGTTATGTATTATGTAT